TCCTAGTACATGCTTTATCGAGAGTAACTTGGAAAGATGTATGATAACTTAAAATTGTTATAAAATAGGCGTAACTCACCCACTGATTTCACTCCTGGCAATTTATTTCAAGGAATTAATAGATTAAGCATGTCAAAACATTTGCACAAAAATACTCATTACAGAAAAATTATTCATTATAAAGGAATTTGTTGAAGTAATGGTACAATCTTATACTCAAACATTGTATATTCAAAATTATATTAAATTAATATTTAGAATGATGTCCACTATGTTAAGTGAAGGATGCAGATTGTAAAATGGTATTATATAGTATGGTACAACTTTTGTAAAGTAAAACTTATCTATATGCAATACATGCACAAAAACAATCTGGAAGGGCATACAGACATCAAAATTTTAACAGGTTTTGGGATTAAGATGGACTCCTATTTTATAATTAGAAAAAATAAGCTATTAGCATTTCTTCCTTTAAAAATAAAGAAAAAATTGTTGTAAATATAGTAAGTCAGTGATTACTAAATAACATGGTAACTACAAGACAAATTACAAATAAATTACAATTATAAATTTTATTTCAACATACGTATTTATATAAATTGCATATTTCCCTTTAAAAATTGAGAATAATTATACTATCAATAAATACACGTGGTATATAATGAATTTGTAACTGAATGGTCAAATGATCAGAGTTGTACCTTGTGGTGGTGAATCAACTCCATCCATTTATCAAAACACATAAATGTACACCCCAAAGATTATTGTATGTACATTTGGTTTAAGGTGCCCAGTTTACCAAGACGGAAGAAGGTTCCCCATAGTTAAAAATTTCTAAACGACTCAAATCTGCGGTCCCTCAGAAGCAAAAGCAATTCCAACCTCGAACGGAAACTCTGGCATCCAGCGAGTTTTGTGCCTGCGGTCGCCCCACGAGGGCGCTACCACCACCACCACCAGGGCCCGCTCCAGGGGCCACCACAAAAGTACTTCAGTCCCGCTGAAATCGCGGGTTGCGCATTCAAGACGCCCCCGTTTGTGGCTTCCCTGCCCCGTGCCCCTCACGGAAACACCCCGCCCCCCACGAATCCAGCCCTCACAAAGACCCGGAAGGGGCCACTTTCTGAGGAAACTGCGGCCCTCAAAGTCAGTAATCGCGTCCCTCAGAAAGCCCGCGCCCTGTGGCGTTCGGACGGCTGCAGGCCCGACGCCATCTCGCGGAGGCCGCGCTGCCTCGTCTCCACAGGGTAAGCGCGGGAAGAGAGGCTTTCGGGGTGGGGGCTGGGCACCGCGCACCCCACATCCCGGCCGGGCGGAGAACCCAGGCCGGTTCTCCACAGCCTAGTTCGCGCCACGGCGGAAGGCGGGGACGGCGTGAAGGCCGCGGGCCTTGCACGTGGTCCGCCCGAGAGCGATAGGAGCGGGTCCCCCAGGCTACAGCCTTGCGCCGCACGCCGGGCATCGTGCCCCTCCTTGCCTGCCCAGCGGCGCCCTGTAGGCCGCGCCCCGGCCGCCGAACGGCCGCCGCTTCCACCCCCGCCTCAGGCCTCGGCCAGTGGTGCACCCGGGCGGGCGCTTCAGAAAAGAAAACTAGGGTGACCCCGCTTTCAGTCCCTCTTCGCGCCTCAGCCCCCAAAAGCCGAGTTTCGGCCATCCTCGAGGACCCCCACCGGTCTTGCGTCCCTCGGGCCTCCTCCTCAACTCACCATGATGGCGGCAGCTAGCAGTTCCCACCGACGTGGCTCGAGGAGGAGCGGAGGACTCTCTTCGGGCACCACTGCTGGGGCTGCTGTTGGGTCTGCTCGTGCCCGCCGCCCGGCCTCGACTGGGCAAGGGGATAAAAGTCAGAGGAGTAAGCGAAGTCAAAGGTGGCGGCGAGCCCGAGGAGCCCTAAGCGCTGACCCGCGAGGCTGAGGGGCGCAGGCGGACTGAGGCGTGGCCTGTGGGGCTCCCGGAGGTGCTCCTGAGCCTGCTGGGTACTGGGGCTCGTTGGAGCCGCCTCAGCCAATGGGTGACAGCTCCACGCCCCCTGCGGGGGGGCTGGGGGGGACGCCGGCGCCCCGGCGGGCTGGGGTGCGCAGAGGGGACGCAAGGGTTGCGCGCGGGCACGCTGCGTGCAGCCAGGGAGGCGCCGCCCTGAGACAGACTGTCCCACAGAACTGACCCACAGTTACACGTCGCCCCGAAAGTGCCTGAGGAGCACTCTTGAAATAAGTACGGGTCCTTAAACAAGTGTTCAGATTTAAAAAGAAATTTTGATGAGTCTAGGCTCTAGTTTCAAGATGGCGTCCTGAGCGCCGAGGATTCGTGCGATCACGAGTGTCCCTATCACTGGCCCCCAAATCGACTGAAATGCGTACAGAAACAGAAAATTGAAACAAGTCTATTTAGAACTGGGAACCAGACATCAAAAGAAAAGGAACATGGACCCCTTTCTGTCAAGTTTGAGGTAGATAGGATTGAATTGGAAGAAATAACCAGCTAGGTCAGGCCAGGCTCGCGTTCGGGGTTTTCATTCTTTGAAGAGACATTTATCGAGTGCCTACGATTGTCAGGTATTGTAGATAGAGGAGTGAACCAAGCAGGAAAATATTTTTTTTCCTCAGAGAGTTTAAATTTTAAGGGAGGGGGGAGTTTATTTTCCAGGCTGCACAGGAAGAGGCTAGGCCTGCCTAGAGAATTCTAGAACATTCTTAAGGTTAGAGAAACAGCACCTAGAGCACGGAAGAACTGTGGGGCAGTTGGTGGGGCAGATCACCCAATTTTGGGAACCACTCCAACACCCTATACCTAACGGGGATAACTGACTATGACTTTTAGCCTCCAACTTCACTTTTGTACTGATAAAAGCATTAAAATGTTACCTCGTGAACCGGCAAATGGTGGGCTTCTGTAACCTGAAGACTGTCTTACTATTAACACCAGGATAAAATAAGAACTGACTTTATTTTTAATATGCAGTTAAAACCATAACAAATGAAGAGAAATCCTAAAATGCCAGAACCAGGTTCCGGGCATACCAAGATGGTTGGTCATTCTCGGTGTGGGCAAGATTAAATTGCAAACCAGAGCAGTGACTTGCTGAACTAATTCTCCTCTGGCCCTGAGTGTGAGGGCTGGGATGTAGGGTGACCAACTAATTTGCCCTGGACTTTCTCGGTTTTTGCTCCGGAAAACCCCACGTACCTGAAAACCAGGTTCCGGGCGTACCAAGATGGTTGGTCATTCTCGGTGTGGGCAAGATGTTGTTTGTCTCTGTAACTTGAGGCCTGGAAGTATAGGGGCAGGTAGTAAGGTTTGGAGAAGCTCATGGTGGGAGCTGGAATTGAGTACACTACAAAAAGCCACTGTCCCTGAGAAACATCATGTTAAGAAAAAGGGTGAAGTAGGGAAATTACTAAAAAAACCAATGGACAAGCAGATGAAGAAGCTTGTCCCATTTCTGGATGGAAAGAAGAAAATTATTTAACTCTGATGAAATTTTGAAACCCTAGACCTGGAATTCACAAGAGTTTGGAGTGTAGATTTATGGCACTTATGTGTTGGAGTCTTAAAACTTAGAAATTGACTCCCACAACCCCACCTCCTCCCAAAAAAGATCCCCAAACAAGGTATATCTGGAATGCCTGGCAGAAACAAACAAAACCAACCTGGAGAGATGCTTCCATAAAAGGCTGGAAGGGATTCTCATTAAAAACAACAAAAAAAGGACCCTTTAAAGATAAACTCACAATGAAAAATTATAAAACACTACCATAAAGAAGAGTGGCAGACAACAAAGAAGATTAAAATGTTAAAACCTTACAGAAGACACTGCTTCGTGTGTGTGTGTGTGTGTGTGTGTGTGTGTGTCTTTTTCTCTTAACTTATTTAGAGTCATACACTGTATTTTAACGTGATTATTCTACTATTTTAAAATCTAAAACTAATATCTTTTACTCTCTTGAATAATTCAAAGGCTTTAGGCTGTTTTAATTCTGCACACTCTCTCCCAATTTATAAGCTATTATTTATTATTCACTACTTTAGTTCTATCCTGTTTTCCTCATATAAATTAGACATGAACTTTAGACCTACCCACATGTATAAAAGTGTTTTGCTTACCAGTTTTTGTATATCTCAGATCTTCTGGATTATTTTCCTTGTGCTTGAAGTAAATTCTATGAAATTTCCTTTTGTGAGAGTGTAATGTGGTAAACTCTCAGGTTTTTTCCCACCTGAAATACTTTTATTTTGCTCTTGTTCATTGAAGATAATTTTACTGGATATATAATTCTAGGTTTACAGTTGTCTTTTTTCTCAGAATATTGCAAACATTATTCTGTTATCTTCTGTAGCTACTGAGAAATCTGCCATCAGTCTACTTGCTGGTTAAGATCTATTTTTCTTTGGTGTTCTGAAATTTCACAGTGATGTGACTGGGTGTGGAGTTTTTAAAATTTCTCCTGCTTAAGAGTTTTTGGGCTTTCTGGATTAGCTTTCAACAGTTCTAAAAAATTTCACCCATTTTCTTGTCAGAGATTAACTCTTTAAGGAGTTTAACCTAGTTTTCATATTTCATATTCCATAAACAATTCTTATAGTTACTTTTGTTTAGATTATTACTTTTTTTAAAGATTGGTGATGTTTTCTTGAAACCTGAGAAATCTTCACTTAATAGAGAAAAAAAAGAATTGTTATATAGGATTCACAATGACAGTACCCATTTCAATGTGTTAAGATTGGTAGCATGATTTATATAAATTCAGACATAAATATGTATATTGTTTCCTTTTCATTTAGAGACTGGTAGGAAAGTGAGAAGAAAAAAGACTATTCTTTGAACTCCTCTGCTACTTCTATTATGCTCCTAAAGCATGGAACTTGAATAGAAGGCTTACAATTAGTATAAGCATTCTCAAACTTCATTTATTTGCAAACCACTTTTATGATTTTTGTTGTACTGCTCTGGATCTCTATATCATTATTTACCTATTTTAAAAAAAACTCATCGTTCTCATAAGCAGTAGTATGTATGAAGTCATGTATTGTATTAGTTATATTTTTTAGCAATGCACATTAAAATAAATATGTAACTATTAAAATTTAAAATAATTGTCCTTCGTGGATCATTTCAGATCCCACCTGCCCAGGACAACACGTAACATACTTTTGGAAAATACTGGACATAAGAAATTGTTATCTGGTCTTTGGATATGCAAAGTTATGTTTGAGGAACTAGGAAGTGGAGTGGAGTGTCAGATTATTCTGCATAATAAATGAGAGTAATTGAATTTGAATGAGGAAACCAAGCAAGGCTCCCAAAGTGAGAATCTGGGAATTTGGAGAAAAGAAATAACTTTGCAAAGTGAAAAGAAGTTGCAGCTTACAGTGAAAGATGCTATCTGAGTACACTGGAGTCATCTGGAGGCTTTTGAAAAAAAGAGTGTCATGAGGGTTAGAACCATACATCAGTATTTTTTTAAAAAATGTTTCTCAAGTTACTCCAATATACAACCAAATTTGAAAATCTTTGCTATAGAGCTTTGCTGCTCAGTGTAGTCCTCAGACCAGCAGCTTTGCATCACCAGGGTGCTATGGAATCTCAGCCCTACCCTAGTCTTACTGAATCAGAATCTGCATTTCAACAAGATCTCCAGATGGCTCACAAACACATTAAAGTTCAGGAAGCACTGACAATAGACAACATTTGCCATAAATAACTTGCATCCTTTGATTTGAGAATGCCTGCCTTACAGAGAGAGCCTGCTTTTCCAGCCTCTCTTGCCGCTAGACCTGGCCATATGACCTACACCAGGGGTCCCCAACCCCCAGGCCGTGGACCGGTACCAGTTTCTAGCCTGTTAGGAACCGGGCCGCACAGCAGGAAACGAGTGGCAGGTGAGCAAGCAAAGCTTCATCTGTATTTGCAGCCGCTCCCCATTGCTAGCATCACCCCCTCAGCTCTACTTCAGATTATCAGGCTTAGATTCTCCTAGAGCACCAGTCCCTGGTGCCAGAAAGGTTGGGGACCACTGAACACCATCAATGAGATGTACACACCCTAAATTTTGAATAGGGAACTAATGATGCCACAAAGCAGCGACTGCAGAGAATACGTTCTGAATAAGGGTGGCAACAGCAGCAGCAGTAGCCATGGCATAAGTTACAGCAGCAATGTCCACAGCTGTGAGTTGAGCAAGCAGCGCTGCAATTCAGTGCCCAGTGGCAGCAGCTGAATCTTCTTCACTGGACCAGTTCTGTGGCATGATTCCATGTGTCATTCCTGGAGACACAGGCTTCCAGCTTGATTATTCAGTCCTTTCTGAGATTCCTTTCCCGCTTAAATCAGCCAAAACTTATGTAGTTTAAGTCTCCTTTTGCCTACCAACTCTACATCCTAGATCCCTCCCCTAAAGGTAACCACCACTGCTAGTTTGATATGAATCCTTTCAGACCTTTTTTAGGCATTCCCTCTTGTAT